GTTGGGATCAAGCCTCAGCATGGGCACGTCTGGGCTCAGGCACCGAAGCAAAAACGAACAGAAATGATCCCCACAAGAGCTGCACAGTGCCCTCTCGAGGCCCCTGCCACACACGGTTCTTGCCGCATCCCAGGATGGACGCGGCAAGCCGCTTCTGCAGCTTCCTCAGGTGCTTTGTCTGCGTTCAGACTCAGGCTGCTGCTTGAAACCAACTAAGGTAGACCAGGACATCCCAAACGTCAGCAAACTTGCCAAACCAGCCGAAGCTTCAGCGACATGATGGAGGGCCCTCCCGGTCGCAGGGAGAGGGTGAGGGAACAAAGAGCCAGAACCTCCTATGTCGAGCGGCGGCAGGTGTTTCGTGCTTCGTCCTAAGCCTTTCCCGATCTTGGCTTTCCGAAGGAGGGATGGGAGCCTGGACCTTGAAAGGGACTAAGCAGGCAGTGCATCACAGGCCCAGTGTTGACAGTAATTGCCAGTGCTGATCGCAGGGGCAGAAGCAGGAGACCAGAGTCGCAGGTGCAGCATGGTGGGACATTGACAGTCTTGTACAGTTACCGTATGTTGATGTGTGCAGACAATCCCTGCAGCAACCTGGCGCAAGAGCTCCATCTGTCATAGATATGCTTGTGCGTGAAAGTGCTTCGACCGGACGTCATCATACTCGTCACTTTTCACGTCGCATCTCCGCAGCCGGTGGTCAGGTCCAGTGTCATTGAGGGGTTCATCGCCTCGGGTGAAATGTCAGTCGCCTTACACTTGGGCTTGTTCTGAGAAAAATGTAGAAATCACAGCTTCTTTTCCAAACCCTGCAAACTGAAATTCGCGGGCCTTCAGGAAAGAAATTGACACTTTGTTGCCAGAAGCATCTGGACCCGGTTCCTCCTATTCCACCTGGAATTTCCAAACGTGTACTCAAACACATCGACAAAGGGTGCTTACAAGTGACTTACAGTACGAGCAGCAACAATTCTTCCTGCATCTTTTCCTGTAACCAATACCGGGCTCCAGGCAAAGTTGTCTAGCGCTTCTTGGCCTGCTTCGCCTGCACGAAACAGGACAGGACAAGGCCCCAGAACTTCGTGGAGTACGTGCGGAGCCTGCTGCCAGCCGGCATCCTCCTCCGTTCGGGCTGCATCCGTCTTCTTCCTTGGCACTGGGTCATGGTTGCTGGGCTGACAGATGCCGCTGCTGCTTCTGCCTAACTCTCTCGCACAATTCTGTGTTTACTGCAAGACAAGCTTCAGCAGCTTCTTCTCCTTGGC